GCATGCCCCTGCCCTCTGGCTTTGTGCAAACTCAGTTTCCAGCCAGCTGGGAGGGCTGCACTGGGGCTGGGGAGCAGCAAACTGCATCTATGCGGCCCTATTTCTCTCTTCTCTCCCTCTTCCCCCACTCCCACCTGCAGCAGGGGTACAGCTGGAAGCTACAAGGCCCTGGCACACTTCCCTAGGAGCTGGAAGCACATGAGAGGGTGCAGATGGGGAGAAAGGGCTGTGGCGCAGATACACCTGAAAGCCACATGGTCCCAACAGAGCTTGTGTGCCTGTGCCTGTGCCTGTGCCTGTGTCAGGGCAGAGCAGCAAGGTGTGCCAGGGCCAGGGGGAGAAGGATGGGGAGAGGAGGATAGAGAGAAGTAGTAGTGGCACAGGTGCAGCTTCCAGCTCCCCAGACCCCAAAGAGCCCCACACCAGCTGGAAGCTAAGCCTATGTGCATCTAGGGAGGGTGGTAGTGGGGAGGGGGTTGGGAGAAGTGGTAGCACAAAGTCCTCTAACTCTTGTGCAGACCAGATTCAGTGGCTCCACAGGCTGGATCCATCCCACAGGCCATATGTTACCAACCTCTGCTTTTTGGTAATTGATTATATTTTCTGCATTCTTTAGGAATCTGTATTTATCAACACAGAGAAAAGGATTCCCTCTCTCTCCTTTTTTAATCCCCACTTGCCTCTAAAGATTGCAGAACCATAAATTCCCACAGTCTCCTGAGAGGCTTCTGAGTATCCTACAATAAGTGTGGATTATAGAGCAACACTTTCCCACAAGTTGGTGTGCTTGCAGCCAGCAAGGAGGACATTGAGATGCCTACCAATAATGTGAAACCCTTCTGTTAATATAACATGATGTCTCCTATATGGACACAGCACACCAGTACAAGTAGCTGAGTACAAACAGACTTTTCCAAAATCACTGTGGAAACATCTCTGTGATGACAGGGCTCTCATCAGAACAACTTCCCAGTGCATACAAGCCTTGGTTTAAAAACTGATCCTTTCTCTGGGTAGGTGTCTTGTCTGATGACTGTTAGATTTGTCCTTTGCTAGATTATATATATATATATATA